AATAAATAGTCAAATGTTTTTTGCAGAATAAAGTTATTCTCTGTGAATTAGACATAGTAAAGTTATAAGCCGAATAAAACTAAGGCACAAAAATTTGATACCAAGCGTACCAGAACGTAAGTTGTATAACACACATAATAAATTAGACAATGCACTGATTTCAGAATGACCAAGTCAGTGCCGCTTAGTTTTTCTCCTTCATTAACCTGAGCTCGCCATCTTATCAGCAGCGGCAGGCTACTCTCCCTCCCCCATCAGTGCACTCTACTTAATGTTAATTACAAATCAGCCAAACGAGCTAAAAATTGCTGAGAATTCTAAAACAGCTAAAGATGATTAGCTTAATTTTTTTCACACATGAGGAATTTATTACGAACTACCATTTTATTTGCAGTTTGTGTCGAGGTTCTTTCAAGTTTTAAGGTACGGCTGTAAGACAACTCAAAACCTCTAACAGGTTTGCGCAACTGGCAAAACTATACAGAGTTCTTTCTTTATATAAAGTGACAATCTTCAGTAAAAACTATTGTGAAGCCGATAAGAAACTATGAAACAAGAAGCAGGAAACGAACGCATGAGCAACTTCCGCCGCTAGATGAGGTTTTGGTACAAATTTATACAAAATGATACAGTTTTCCTTCGCTTGTATTGATACTACTCTTATTTTCGTTTCTTTATTAGAAAGCAGAATTATTGTAAGTCTTTTTTCTGATGAAAAACAAAAATACCGGCAGCATCGGTTACAGAAGAAAAAATAATGTTTTTAGTACTGCAGCTTTGGTTATTCCCTGTTTTCTTCATTGAACGAAAAACTTATAAACGCTGCAACAATCTTCTAAACTTCCCTTGACAGCTCCAAGTCTTCATTTCCTTGAAGCTGCAGACTTTTTGAAGGATTGCTCGCAAGTATAATGAATAATAAACAAATTTCGCAAATAAATAATTACACTTCATTGATAACTAAAAGTTATGAAAGACCTAAACAACTGAAAGAAAGATAAGAAACAATGGTAACACCGACAAAATTAAAAAAATGCTTCAGAACAGTTGAGATATTTTTTACACAACTTTTATGGTTCTATGGTACTCAACTGTACGTTGAGTCATTGAGCTTTTGTATTTGTAATGCTGTTCTGATTATAAAGATGACATTAACGCTTGAAGTGTTTCTCTTGGCTTAAAGCGGAAGCTCTGATTCGTTCAAGAGACTTTTTTCTTTTAAATCTTTGAAATTGACCGTCAGATACCACGCGGTAAATGTTTGAAAAATTCTTTACATGATACGTTGATACCACTCAGCAATTTTGCACTCTAAACCATTCTAAATTTGTCTACTCAGTTCTTTTGAATTCATTTCTTTTTTTTTTCTCTGTCTTTTTTCTTTTCAATTACTCATACATAATATTGTATTGTTATTTACTTACTTATCTCGTAATAGTTGGAAACGCTATATTTGTGGTACGTACAACGGGACCGCATACTACAGTACGATAATAAGAGAATAAAGAACCAAGAAAAGTGGCAATTAAAAATGAGGCTGAACTGTGACACAAAAAAAAAAGCAGGAATAAAGCAACAAAATTTTACATACTATATTGTTTATAAATTATAATGTCAAATACATCTGCGAGAAGTCTTTCCAAAGAACCGTTCCATAAAGTACAGATGTCTAGAAAAAACTAGAAACAAAAAAAAATTAAACTCTTCTTTCTTTGCTGTTTACTAAATTACTACGTAATTTTCATTTGGTTGGCTATAAAAAGTCCACTTAAATCTTTATGCAGAAAAAAAAAGGTTAAAAACACTTGTTGATTATAACCACTTTCATCCCATATGGCAAAATACTGATCGAAGATCAAGAACAAAAGTGGAAAAAGTATGCAGAAACACTTGATTTGCCAAAAAAAAAACTCTGCCACAGAGCTATAATGCATTTTAAAGTATACTCTGCAGTTTTTTCTTGAATTTGATTTTCAGTTCTGTTTTACTTTTAATGCAACCTTTCTGCTCCTATGGCATTCTAAATAACTTGCTATGAACCGATCATGTCTAGTGTAAACTGTTGATTCCAGTTGTATATCCAGCATTAATCCAGTAATTTTATCGGTAACGTTATGTTACAGATACTTTCACGCACAAATCAACTGAAGATCTATCACAGCAAGAAGCTCTTCAGTCGGATACTTTGAAATACCTTGCGATTCTGCATCTTACAGTGCAAACTCAACTTTGCGAACAAACTCGTACAAAAACCTTAACATAAAGTCGACTTTAAGGCGGTAATTTGAGAATGTTACGACATACGGCAGCAGCGGAAAATTTATTTCTTTGATTATAGGCTAGCAACGGTTTCTACAGTTCTGATTGCTGCCACAATGCACAATCGCTCTCGCTTCGCCATGAAGAGAAACGCAAAACCTTAGAATTCCATAGAATCCAGTTCATAAAATAAAGTTTTTTTTCGATTGGATCAACTTGTGCAAGAACAAGCTTCCGCCTTAAGTTTCTTGTTGTTTTCCTTCTGCAACTTTATGTTTAGCACGTCCTTTGCACTTGTTCGCTCTTTTTGATAATAATTAGGAGTATTTTCGATGAAGCTGTAACGTGACTTGTCAAGCACCTGAAATTTCTTTTTTTGCTTTACACCTAGACTTTCCCATAATCTTTTACCTGTATCCATCCTGTCCATTTCCGGCTGCAGTGTTTCTGAGCAGATGGCTCAACAATTGCGCTACCTTCAAATATCGATGTAGTTAAACAATGGCGTGCACCTTTTTTTCAAAACCAACTAGAACTACTCCAAAACTAGGCTGATAGCTTTTTTTTTTTTTTTTTTTTGAAGAATAAACTTGGTTTCAATCATCTTTCCAACCTCAAATTTCTTAGTTCCCAATATCATTTCCTTTAGATAACTTGAACAAAGAGCCATCCATTATTACCTGCAACTTAAAATGGCAATTTAGGTTTCACATAAAAATACCGACTGTTCTGCAGTTAGTAAAATAAAGAATTATAGTAATATATTTATCGACAGCAATGTGTCCGTTGTGCCCCAACTGTTAGTTTCGACTAATTATGGTTTTATCTATGCCACTGCAAGTTAACAGGGAAGAATCGGGTAACTGAAAATTATTGTACAGCTTTTAATCGCCAATTTCTTATTCTTAACTGTTACCTCAGTGTAAATTGTTTTTGCTTTTTTATTAATTTCGTTCACTTTTTAACTAACCGACACAATATTTTCTCCTTTACCAAAGAGGATTCATTACAAAGAAACAAACCATATAATGGTGCCAATCAAAATGTAAGAAAAGAAAGGAGTAAAGATTTTTGGTACAAAATTTCGACTTTGAAAACACTAAAAGTTCTGGCAGTTATAAAATGAAAAGGATGCGTGCAATCAAAAAAGCGCTTAACGCCACATTTAAAAGGTTCCAATTCCTTAAAGAAAAGACGTAAGTTCCTAGGATGACCTCAAATTTTTCTTCCCTTTTCCGCATAACTTCTGAACCGTGAGAAATCCTGCGCCGTCCCAGAATGAATTTTTACGCGCCCCATCTTACTAGGCTACGTCATATCGTTTGTCGTCACATTTTTTATTGCACTTTCCAGAAAAATATTTACAGTAATTGACTTTTCTTACATTTGAAAAATTCTCTTTCATAAAATAAGACAGATCATCGAATTCCCCTAATATAGAGCAAAGTCAGGTAATGCAGGACAATCTAAAAACGATTGAAGTAGTTGATGAGAACTGTATTGGCTGAGAAATAATGAAGTCAAGGTACCTGAACTGTATATTTAATAAAAAACAGTTTCTCCAACCTTAATTTTGTCTAAAAACTCGAAAATTTCTGGACTACAGTAAGTAATAATTCCACTCCAAATGGGAACCATTTCCACATTCTAAACGATGTGGCGGCAACGAATGGTTCACATGCTAATTTAACAGCTAAAAAACGAGATCACAAAAAAGAGGGTGGTTGACAGGTGTAAGAGATCTAGAACTTTAATGACTAATGAGCATCACCACCCACTAATTGTATCAAACCCGATGGAGAAAAATGAGGTCCTTTAAAAGGTCAGAATTTCAAAACTGTAAATATCTGTTGTAGCTAGACACCTCTGGACCAGTACCTTGAACTGAATAATACGTGAAAAGCTTACTGTTTTTGACAAGATGGAATGCCGGAATCTCCGGCAAAAAAAAAAAATTTCTTAACCATCAAAGAGACAATAACTAAAAGCAGAAAAAAATTGAATTAAGAGAAAGTTAAAAATACCACTAAAATGGCACAGAGAAAACAAATGTTGCTCATCAAGACTGTCTAAAACTGTCTTGATTTTTTCCGCATAATCGCACCTCTACATACCTATTATTTTCCTCAATATAACAAATTATAGTGACAGTTAAAGACCAATAATTGCTAGAAAGCAAAAGTCTTGCAAAGGTTGCTTAGAAATGCATGACGTAAAGCGTCTTCATTGTCACTAAAACTTTCTGCTTCTTTAAGACCAGGTCCCAACAACATGTTTTTAACACTGCAACTGGTTAAGTACTGAAGTAAGTTGTGAATGGTGTCTTTGTCCAAAAGTGTCTGAAAAAAGGTACTTGTGGTGATTGAAAAAAGAATTTCAAACAAGACATAAAATAAAAATAAAATAAAATCTCACCGTTTCCTCATCATCAAAACTAAGCAACATAGTCAAGTCGTTGAAAAGTGCACATCTCAAATTTTGTGGGGCTCTGTCTGAAGTTATAAGATCCACCTAGAAGAAAGACTGAAATAAAAAAAAAAAAAAGAATAACCTAAAAACTGCTGCTCATACGGTTACTGGAAAAGTCAATCAAGAAAAAAACGACAACCTTGTGTAAACAACCAAAGAGACATAAGAATCTATTTGTCAATTTAAAGCACCAAAAATTACGGATATGTATAAATGAAGTCACAAGAGGTTAAAAAGCAAGGCAACGAGTGGCTCCACCACGTTACACTTATCTAATGAAAGGTCAGACACAGTTCATCACTTACCAAACAAAGAGCCGCAGCTTTCTTCTGTCCAGAAACAAACAATTTCTTGTAGTGATAATACTTATGTAAGAAAACTAGAGACGGTGAAACCAAAATTATCTCATTTAACCCCTCTAATATCGACATCTTTGCAATGTCTTCGGATGAGCATTGTGCAAGGATACGGTTGGAAATGGTTTCTAGAAGTTTTGAATCCTCTGTCCGCATTCCCCATATCAAAGCAGTTGACCACTGTCCTGTCAACAGAAACCTGAAAAAAAGGTTTCATCAATTCAGAGTGGTTTAAAAGCATAATCATAAGTTACCGATAAAAATTTCAGTGTAAACTTAAGACAAATCCTAAAAACAAACCTTAAGGAAAGCGACCGTTCTATATCGCCCACTAAATCTCCATAGCCTTCAACGGAACAACGGGAAATAAGCTTCAACGCTACTGCCTCATTATCGACTTGAAAATTAGAGATCAAAAGAGCCAACCTCTCCTCACCCTCAGCTCCACATTCTAATAGGTAGTCAAAACCAATTGACCACATACTAGAAAGTAACTATGAAAAGCTGCCTTACAAGGAACCGGAGTAAAAATCTAGACGGATTCTTAGTTTGAGAAAAAGGATTTAAAATTATACACTACAGGCAAATATTTATTAAAAAATTAAGACTTTAGATCTTCGAAAGTTGGTAAACAAAGAGCAGTAAAAAGTTTGAGATACAGTTCTTTCTATTGATTTGCTTGTACGCCTGCGGAAAAATCAACAAAGAAAAATAAATCAATTTGATGGCATATTATGCACAGATTCAAAAAATTTGAAATTTTTAAAATACATACCCTGGTTCTTCAAATAACTGCGTACCGTACTCCATTAACAAATGTTGCCTGGCATCAATCCCATATGCGTTCATTAAGTCACTATTTACCTTTCGCAAAAGATCCGACAAGTGAGCAGCTAACCACCAATCTTGATTAAATCTTGCAATTTGCTGGACTGCTAAGAGAGCATCAAGAGAACACACTGCACCTACTATTGTATCAATTTCGATTTCTTCTTTGGAACTCAGTAGCCCGGCACACTCCTAAAAAGAAGCAATGAGATAAGAATAACCCCTCTTAAAAGCAAAAACGCTGACTTTTCCATGGATATCCAAATACTGCTGTAAAAACGATATAAAACCGTTTCTAGAAAGTCGAAAATTTCTACAATAATAAATTTTTTTTGATATTGCAACAGCAACGTAAACGGATCTACATCTAAATAAATAAATATTTACAACAGATTTATGACTGTTATAGAAGTTTTTTAAATCTAAGTATTTTTTTTTTCAAAACAACATATCAGCGTCATTTTAAAAAAAAAACAAAAAAACAAAGTATAGAAGAATTCAATCCTATTTTAATAAGAAGAACTGACGAACCAAAAATTTTTACCATATCTAGGAGCAGTTGTTTCACGCGGTTCAGCAGAATTAAAAAGACTTTCCCTTAGACTGTTTGTCCTTTCTCTCAAATTTTTAACGGTCGTACTGACCTTCAGAACTTCTAAAATTTTAAGAGACACTGCTCTAAACGAAACTTCAGACTTTAGCTATTCAGCATTTTCTGAATGTCCCTTACTCCTCAAAACAAATACACGCTGGATTTTCATTATTTACTTAAACAGCAGCCCATTAAACAACGTTCCACTCGGAACCTAGAGAACTTTATGCAAAAGCAAAAAATCTATGATTAAAGAAGGGTGAAGAAACTTGGTTCTTCAATAAGAGATCTTACTCTCAAAAATATAATAACTGAAAGTAGAATTGACTCTTCAAAAGATTTTTACGTTTAAAAACAGCAGAGCAAGTAAGAGGCGCAGCAATATCAAGAAAAATAGAATAGCAATCGCAAAAGAAAGTTAGTCTCGTTGAGTTGGCAATGCCGTCTCTGTTGCGGAAAAAGTTAAGGCAGGAGTTTCAAACCTCCTGAGTATCTCATTCCATCAAAAGAAGGAAGAGTACTTCAGAATTACTAGTCCAAAAAAACTCAAATTGGAAAATACAACTAAAATCTGAAAAAAACAAGACACAATAACATTCATTTCATAATTCTGAACGAGTTTACCTTTGCCAAACCTGGTAACTCTTCCAACTGTGCGTTTGGTCGATAAAGAAATGCATAAAGCGGTAGGATCTCAAACCAGTGAGATGAAAACGATGAAATTGCTTTGAAAGTAGGAAGGTGACCCATCAGAAGCATAGCTATTTTGAATGCTTCCGACCCTTTCTCAAACAAACCAGATTCCACCAGCCCACGCAAGTTCTGCAAAAAGTTTAATAACAGAATGAATACAGTTTAAACATGACTGGCAATCTCAAAAATCTTTTCAGAAAAATGTTTCACAAAAATCAGAATTCGAAAAAAAAAAAATGTACCTGTCTTAACCTTGACAGATCCCCTTCAGAATCCATATCGCAAAAAGCAGAAACATCAAACTGGTCAATGATTTCAGAAAGCTTTTTAAGCGCATCATCTTTTACTAAACCACCATAAACTTTTATTAATTTTGACGCATTCGTAAACAAACCGCCGAAGAGCAAATAATGAATCTAAAAAAATGGAATTTTCTTACTGCGACTCTAAGAAACCAATGTCCACCTTCAAAACAGAAAATGATTTTACAGTTCGGTAACTTAGACGGTCTTTCAGAAACACTGACAATAAACTAAATAGAAACAAAATCCCTTTATTATTTACAATAAAAGCAATGACTAACTTGTTTCCAAAAAATTTCTTTGTCTAATCTACGAATTTTACTCGGCAGTAAACACGAAGATATTTCATCAATATAATCTGTCTTCACAAGGCAGATCCGCGCCCAAGCAATGAGATCTACCACAATAGATGAAGCTGAAAATAGTCAAGCCCCGATAAGATTATCACACAAAGAAAAAATAAAGTTGAGAAACCTTGAAAAAAGAAATATAGCAGAATTAATGCAGTTTTTGGTTTTAGAACACACAAAAAATGAAATGACAGTAAGAAAGAAGCTTCCAAAGAATAATAAAAAAGCGAATAAATGAAAAGTCCCACATTCCATTCAAAAAAAAAAAAAAAGTTAAAATTTCCCTCCCAAGATCCAATACGCGGAATAAAAAAGCACCATAATATCATGCTGTATTTGAATTCAAAGTAAAAACTGACAAGATGGCTTGAAAAAAACTGTTTCCATAAGAGACCATATAAGTTCCCAAGAGCTAAGCAAACTACACGTATCCTCATCTGACTCATCCACAGATAACAAAGCAGATCGGATTACAGATCGATACTCCAAACTTAGCGACAAAATACTGAAAGCGGAAGATTAGGAAATAAAAAATGAGCAAAATCTTTTGACGCTGCATTAAAATACACTTGAATCTTACTCTCCTATTTCCAGCCCAGCCTGTTTCTGTTGAAGCTGCGCTCGACGAAAAATGCCTGAAACGACCGAAAAATACTGCAACAATGTAAAGAGTAGTTAAATAGCTTAAAAAATGCTGCAAGTACGTCGAATTTTTTGAAATTGCCAGTCACTTTAACCTAAAAATAATCTATCAGTGAAATCTAAAAATAAACTGAGTAAGAAATAACCAGAAAGATACTTCATAACAACAAAACTGGGCTGACCATGGGATTCGTAAACTAGCTGCTGGAGTGCAGCAGACTTGAACTTTCCTGGAGCACTGTGTTTCAGTAAAACAGCATTTAGGAACTTCCCGCTTGGCAGGCCTTCTAAAAATGAAAAAACTACCGCTAAAATAATACTTATATTACGCTAGAATACTCTTCGGCCCTTGTAACTTTGTCTCGTTTCAAAAAACTGTGATAGCTGCAGCCACACTTTCGTAAAGCTATTTTACAAACACTGACCTCTGCCTGCTTGCGATTCAATGCTGGATATCGCCACCACTGTGCCAAGAGGTCCAGTGTCGGTTGCGACCCAACATTTACCATCAACCATTAGCTAAAATAAAACATACCATATTCAGAGATGCTATTATAGATTGACAATTATTCATAAAAAGCTTCAAATCGCAAATGCTCAAATGCTGATGGGCGACTTCTAGACATCAATCTCCGCCAATGTTTTTTGCTTAACTTAACAATCCAAACTTATACACAATTACGAATACGAAACTGTGATAAAAAAAAAACTTGGTTGGAACGAAGAGCAAAAAAAAAAAAAGAATAAATAAAAAAAAAAGAAAATTTAAGCATTTAATCTCCGGTCGTAAACGACAAACCTTCCTCCCTTCCCACCAAAAAAAGGTACTAAAATTACGCCTGCAGGAAGCCGATACAAATCCACCTTACAAGACCACAATTTTTGATAGAAGCCTACAAATTATTTATTTTTTCCCCTTTTCCCCAATTCGAATTCTTTTCCCATTACTAAAGCTTGATCTTTTTTGCCACCTAAACTGTCAATTAATTGTGCTTCAAGCACCACTTATGCACGAAAAAATGACTCAATACTGTCACTTCTAAACCCATGACAAAATTCAAAGAAATAGAAAAAAAAGAGAACGAAAAGCACCGCTAAATACGGGAAATGACAAGCATGCTTAGTGACCAATAATCAGCAAATAACCTTCGAAACTTTATCACTGCAAATAGGAGAAAAAAAATGTAAGAGAAATTCGCTATACACGAACTACTACTAAGTCGCTGTTCAGTTTCCGTTCCTTTCGGAACCTCTTCCCCTTGCACCGCAACGATGAGGAGAATGAGGTGCTGGTCCAGATAAATGGCGTTATAAAGAAACATCAATGAAGACAAAAAAAAAAACCATCCAAAAAATCTATAGATTTGGAACACTGCAGCACTGTCCTATATCAGCTTTCCGAAAAACAACAGAAAAAGGCATTTCTTCTACCCCAAAACACCCTTTGAGAATTTCGAGCATAAACCAAATATAGGTTCCCACTTTCCCACCGTCCTGGCAAGCGCCCAGCTTCGCGCCTAAAAACAGATGACGTCACACTTTCTTGGAGTTTTTGCCACCGTTTTTTACTGTACAACTGCTGCCTGCTTAAAGACAGTACAAGTTTTTATATATATAGTTTATTTCACTTCTCTTCTTACTTGGCATTTTCGTCTTTTTAACTTTCATTTTTATTAAATGATACACTTCTTCTCTGCAATATTCAGCTTAAAAAAATCTTTTTGTTTCTCTTACTGCGGATACAAATTTTACATGTTAAACTGTAATACTTTGCGGTTCAACAGTTATCATAATTTCGGAATTCTTTTATGCTTATCCTCATTTTTACTGGTCTAAGATTCACCAAATGAGGATTGTTTGTATGTGTATGTTTGTATGATGCTATCGGGAAAGGTAGCAATTACTGTTCTCAGTTAACTAAGAGCTCGTCCTAATGCTTTGTTTGTAAGTTCTCAGTAAAGCACAAGCCTTTTTTGTATATATATTTGCAGTCCGTCACTGCTCTGTTGAGAAGTAAACATGGAAAAGATTGGTTATTTGCAATAAGGTTTTTAACAGTTAACCTCATAAAGTTGTACAGAAATTCACGTTAGTCG